GGGAGAGATTTGATTAAATTTCAAGGGATTGAAGTGAACAAACGAACAGAAGTTTACACAGAGGACAAGGAGTTATTCTATGAGATTTTTCTAAGAAACTCGCCTGAATTTCCTGAAAAGTCATCAAAAATTTTCTTCAGAAATTGGGTTCCTTATTATTCAATGTATTTCCTTTGAAATGGTGCATTTGTGAAGTAAAGGTAGCGAAAGAGTTGGACAGGAATTCAGCGCAAATTGTTTTTTCTGAGGTGAAAATTTTTGTTTGCTGCATCACACCATAATAACCAAAAATCTAATCAATCTTTGCCTATATCCTTCGAACTGAGGGATTTTACCATTGAATAACGTGAGAGGATAAACTCCACTTGAACAATTTCGTTTCGCTGCTTGTTTTTTTTTTTTTAAATTTAGGTGGAATAAAAGCAATGGTTTAGTGTTATAAAATTCCTTTGCTGATTAATATGTTTAATGGAGTGCCATATTTCGACTTTTTTGGAAACAATTCCTGTGCAAAAGATATTTATTGAAAGGATTTTTTCAACTTTTTCTGGGAATAATTGGGGAGCATTTGATATTTCCCGCTTTATTATACGTTAAAAAAATAAGGGGGGGACGGCGCATCTCGGCTCCATCAGCCGCCACAAGGTGTAAACAGAATATATCGCGGAGTGTTCTGTTTATTATCGTGTTATTGCCAAGATAATAGTATCATTATCACGCGAATCCACATCTTTTTTTATAATTCTTCTGTTAACTTCCTTTCATCGAAGCCATGCAGAGGGGTCCGTACAAACGGTATCTGCACATATCTTCCACCAAGCTTATTCCCAGGAATACCTTGCATAATCAAAAAAAACGTCGTATTATAGTGAAAAAGAATCAGCACCTGTAAGTTGAAGTAAAACGCCAGAAACAAAAAACACCAAAAATAGAATCTATTTCTGCGTACATCCCGTTCCAATCTCATCGAGTAAAAATCATGTTCTTTAAATTGAGGAACAACAGATTGAGGCCAAAAATGAAACTGAAACCGGCATACAGGAGGCAAGTTCGTCTTTAGTGACTATAGCAGATCCTTCCGGCCAGGAACCTCATCAATCTGATGGTTCCAGTGGACATGAGGCACCCCATAACAACTCAGAGGGCTCCCCTAATTGTATTCTGAGATCCGGCAGTTCAGATTCTGGTTCCCCTAATAAAAATGTTTCCCTCACTCGTATCACGACATCCAGCGGCATATCACAGGGCTCAAATAGTAGAAGCGTGTCTTATCATTGTGTCCCAGAAGATTACAGCGATGATGAGGTAATTACGACTCATCTAAAATAGAGTTATCAGTTGTACCATAGTGAGGTTATTAGATTGACTTCCACCATTCTGTGCTTATGTCAATATGAATGGTTTCTTTTTTCAATTTTTTTCAGCAGGATGAGCAGCTGTTTCGTTTTACACAATCAGACACTGATGATGAAACGGAAATCATCAACGGGGCAGGTATCTTGACTGATATTTCGAGTGAAAATTCAGTTCGAGGAATAACGATCAATATCGACCGAAGCGGAAATAATGATCAGGTTTGACTTGATTGCTTAATTGCAACATTCAAAACCATACGATATTTCAATAATGTTGCAATAAGGATTTCATAATTTCAGATATTAGAGGGCGGTTCTGGCTCAGAAAAATTTAATTTTGATGAAACGTTGTGTTCCTGCACTGATACAACTATTGGAGAAACTCTTCTAATGATCATGTCTATTGGTCTTAGACACACACTACCATGGACAGCTTTAGTTGACATTTGCCAAGCCATCAATATTCTTTACAATCGACGAATTATCCCTGATACGAAGTATCTGCTTCAAAAGTTTTTCCCATCCCACATTGACAAAGCTACATATCATTTGTATTGTCAAGAGTGTCGGGAATACTTAGGTGAACGTAGACCTGATATCCAAGAAATTGAGTGCGTCTGTGGATATAAATTAATCGTTAACAAAATCGACTCCTATTTTATTGAATTTGATATGGCGGAACAATTAAGGACCCTTTTTAAAAATAATTCGCTTGCAGAAAGTTTAAAATCTCGTTTTAATAGAGAGGAAGCTGATGACAATACCTTACGAGATATCTTTGACGGCGTCACGTATAAAAAATATGTTTCTTCTGGACTTTTAGATGATTGGAGGAATATTTCATGTACGTTTAATACGGATGGGTGCAAACACGCAAAATCTTCCAAATTAGCTGTATGGCCGATCTATTTTAGAATCAATGAACTTCCAGAGAAAATGAGAGGTAAACATATTCTCATGGCTGGACTTTGGGTTGATAAAACAGAGCCAGATATGAATTTATTCTTAAAGCCGTTCGTTGACCAATGTAACAGTTTAACGTCGAAGGGATTCAATTGGGTACTGAATGGAGAAAAAATAACAAGTAAAGTATTTTTCAATTGTTGCTCTGTGGATTCGCCAGCTCGATGCGCCATGCTTTGCATGAAATCATTTACAGGATACTTCGGCTGTACACTGTGTTATCATCCAGCAAGGCTAGTGATGAATACTCGAAAGTATCCTATATTAGATTCGGTTCCCCATCCTAGAACCGATGAAAGTATCAAAAAAGAAATGATAGAATCGCTAACGAGATCGAATGAGGATGAAAAGAGAGGTGTCTTAAAACCATCAGTTCTGATGAATATTAAGAATTTTGATCTAGTTGCTGGCATGCCACCCGATTACATGCATTCTTGTCTACTTGGCGTCACTCGGCAATTCACTGAGATGACCTTAACTGGTACAAAGGGAAAATATTATGTAGGTAGTCCAGCAAAAATGTCTCTGATAAATGAACGATTAATGAATATCAAGCCACCAAGCGTAATCCATAGGAAACCAAGGTCTCTAAAGGAATTTAAATTGTGGAAAGCCACAGAATGGCGCTCTTGGCTCTTATTTTATTCTCTGCCTTGCCTTGAAGGTATACTTCCTCATAAATATATTAAACACTGGAGTTTGCTCGTTAGCGCAATGGAAATTTTGTTGAAAGCTGCCATCACACGTAATGAACTCCAGGACGCACGTGAAGTGTTGGTCAAATTCGTTGAAAAGTATCAAAAATTATATGGAGTGTACGAAATGAAATATAATATTCATCTACTCCTTCATTTGTCTGATTCTGTGCAAAACTGGGGACCATTATGGACGCAGAATACCTTTGATTTTGAAAACCAAAATAGAATTCTATTGCAATTCAAACATAGTTCTAGAAGGATTGCCACTCAAATTGCTAATAGGATACTATCATTCCAAAATCTCAATGTATTTTCAGAATCAGTTCATGTGAGCCTTCGAGTACAATCATTCTGTCAGAGTCTCCACAAAAAACAGTTGCGATGGTATTGCAGACTTGATGATCACGTTCTGGTGGGAAACAGAAAGAGCTACATTCTAACTGATGAGGAGAAAAAATGTCTTAACATGCCTATAAAAAGTTGTGACTTTTTTTCTCGTATGATTGTGAATCGAATTCGGTACTCCACCAAAGCATATTGTGATCAATATTGTACAAAAATAGATGATTCTGTGGTTTTATTACATAACAATCAAATAGGTATGATATCTAGAATTTTAGAAGTGCAGGCAGATAATAAGGACGTGAACACTATTATTCTACTCTCTCAGATGAAACTCAAAGAAAATTCTCCATCACTTAGTCAGGTTAGTCATATAAATCAATGCGAATTGACGGATCGATTGATTGCTTGTACCCCAAAGGATTTGAATCATCCATGTGTTTCAATTCCTACAGAAAAGGCACACTATGTTGCAACCATACCACGTGGAGCTTTGATGGATTCATAGAAAAGTGATAACAATGTACTCACTTTCTCATTCTCAATACAACAATAAACTGTTCAATAAATTACGGTGTGTTTTTTCCTGTAAAAACCTTATTTCTGTCGACGCTTATTAACAAACGGTTCATTAGGAGTTTTCCTTTTAACCATCTAATTTCTCGGCATTGATGGAGACAATAGTGTTCCATATACTCGGTATTCCATGAGAGACCCAGTAGACGAATTTGTCAATATATCCGATTATGACATTATTTGACATATTCTGACATTTTCTGAGAATGTTCCCAGCCGGGATGTCTCTCAAAAAATGCCATGACATGACAAAATATGACATATCATCCCTGACAGAATTTGTCAAAAGATGACATAATACATCCGATTATGACATTATTTGAGATATTCTGACAGTTTCTGAGAATGTTCCTAACCGGGATGTTTGTCAGAAAATGTAGTAATGCAACAGAATATGTCATATTATCTCTGACTGAATCTTTCAAAATATGACATAACATGTCTGATTATAACATTATTTAATATATTCTGACAGTTTCTGAGAATGTTCCTAACCGGGATGTTTGTCAGAAAATGTAGTAATGCAACAGAATATGTCATATTATCTCTGACAGAATCTTTCAAAATATGACATAACATGTCTGATTATAACATTATTTAATATATTCTGACAGTTTCTGAGAATGTTCCTAACCAGGATGTTTGTCAGAAAATGTAGTAATGCAACAGAATATGACATATCATCTCTGACAGAATCTTTTAAAATATAACATGATATGTCAAATTATGACATTAGTTGACGTATTCTGACATCTTATGAGAATATTTTCCTGCCCGGCTTTTTGTCGGAAAATGTCATGATATGACATATTATGACACGTTACTTCTCACAAAATCTGTAAAAATATGACATAATATGTCTGGTTATGACACTATTTGACATATTCTGCCATTTTCTGACATTTTTATCAACTTGACATAATATGAGATTTGTCCGACGAAATATGATCACACAAAATTTGTCATTTTATATCACATTCTCTCATTTTATGACAAAAATTGGGAAATTTCTCATTTTATGACAATTTTTGACATTTTCTGTCAAATTTTATCAAAATCTGTCGACCAATTTCCACGAGGGAGTAATTGATGTTCCATTTAAATTGGAAACATTCCGGTCAAAGGGCACAATTAATTTCTGTTTTGTTCAATGTCATGAGCATTCAATGTAAAACCCAAAAAGAAAGATCATCGAAAATTATTAAACTTGTGTTATGTTGCATGGTATCATCTTTTGAAGACTATGGTAGAATATTCATTCCACTTCGAAAACGATTCACTGCGCATCCAGGAGGCCGAGTGTTTTGTTTATACGGCGCGTACGTGCTCACCGGTAAACACACGCGGCCATGTGAGCGGTGGACCAGTTCACGCTTCAATCTCAATGAGAGAGAGAGAAGTATCGAGTTCAAAATCATTCCTCAGATTTTATAAGAAAAAAGATTAATGTTTCTCATTATAAGTTTCTACTACTCATGATGATTTTGAAGACGAAATTGCAAAATCATGAATTAATTTGTTGTAATTATGATTATTGAGGTGGCATAAAAGAAAAAAAATTCACCGGCAATAAAACGTCTGAAAATTTTAGCAACTACGATTGTCAGCTATGAAATATTAGATATTGGACATCAGAAATGAGATATTTGCTAGTAGACGTCACATACTGGATATTAGATATCAGATATCATATGGTGGATATTCAACGTGAGATACCACATGGTGGATATCCCCCCCCCTCCCCTCCCCGCATTCTGGTGTAAAATGGAGCCTCGAATATTACCACCGTGAGGCTGATAAAGAAGATTCCCCCATACATTACCGACCGAGGGACTAGTAGATTCCTGCATTGCCCTCCCCGTAACCCC